CCCCCCTTGACTCCCGACGTACCGTTCTTGTCTTTGCACAGACCCGCTACAACGAGGAGGACGAGCGCGCTATCGTGAACGGCGCGCACACGAACGCTACCCTCCAGCAGCTGGTGCACAAATACGTAGAGCTCTTCGTTCTCTGCCCCAACTGCCGCCTCCCCGAGTCGAGTGAGTTTTTACCCCTTCTCCGTTGCACTTCTTGTAGCGCTTGTTTCTGTGTGTTGAGTGAGAAGGGGGCGGGGCAGGTGTTTTGGGCGGGGATTCGTAGATTCACTGGTTGTTGTACCCCACCTCCTGTCTTAGCTGTTGTGCATGACGAAGACATGCCCTACATATGGAAGGTGTCTTTTCGCCACTTTCCATGGGGGTGACCCCCGCGCGCATTCCCAACCGGGGGTCGGTGGACTCTCACGTACAGCACCGATATTTCCCACCGTCAATCGCTCGTGACCCCTTTCTGCTGCTGCTTGTGCCTCTGCTTCTGCCTTCTGCGGCAGAGTACAAGATCAAGAACGGTGCGATCTTCCACAAGTGCTACGCCTGCGGGGCCAAGGAAATGGTCGACATGTCCCACAAGCTCTGCACGTTCATCGTTAACACCGCGAAGAAGGCCAAGAAGGGCAAGGACAAAGACGCGGCCAAGGACTCGAAGGAGAGGAAGCGCGAGAAGAAGGTGAGGGGGAGGGGCGGGGGACACGTATGTCGTGTTCTCGCTACGGCGGCGGGCTCGTATTCACTTGATTCAAGAGGTATTAGAGTGTCGCGCGTGTTTGGCCACAGCTGCTGCTGTGCAATATCGTGAGCCGATCCTGGGATTTATTCCTGTTCCCCTTGCCATTAAGAGCGATTTATCCGGTTGGTTCGCGCTCGGTTCGAACGGTACTCATGACAGCTTGCTGATATGTCTTATCTATGCCACCGGTTGAGTTGTGTTCTTCGGCCGAAGTTGCTGACCATGAGCGCAACAGCATATCCAACCTCGCTGTCGTGTGCTTGGTGAACGGAAAAGCGTTCACTCCTTGGACTCTTCTGTCCACTTGCTGCATAGGCGTGAATCGCGTGTTTTGTGCTTAAATTGCTTCCTGGTGTGGACGTTCGGCGTAATGCATATTTTTTCGCAGGAGAAGAAGAAGGAGGAGGTATCTCTGAACGGCGATGATTCTGTCAAGGAGAAGAAGGAGAAAAAGAAGAAGGTGAGATATCCGCTCGTTCCTGCGTTTGATACTGCTGCGCCGCCGCCGTCGATGCTAGCCAGGAAGCCTGATTTTTTTTGCTCTCTTCCGTGTCGAGGCTCTCTCCCTTTCGGTGCTGCCAGGCGACGACGGCTGCACGTACGAAGTTTCTGCCATTCTGAATTGCCCGTCGGGTGAAAAGTTAAGCATTTCAAATAGCCATCTCCGTGCGTTGATCGTTTGGTGGTTTCGCACGACGTATTTTTGATCTGAACGTGCTTTTTTTTGTCTTCTCTTTTGCCGTTGCCCGCTGCTTGCTCCTTTTTCTCTCCCTGTGGTCGCTTACCCACCACCTCCTTGCTGGCTGGTTGACGGGTGTGCGGATGATGGATCGGTCGATGTTTGCCCGGCGTGTTCGGATGGGTGCTCGTACGATGCACTACTGCTGCCTGCTGCTGCCGACGTGCTTGCACCACTTGCCCCGTGGGATGCGCTTGCGTGAGTAGGACAAGAAGAAGCGGGACAAGGAGAACACCTCCGATGACGGCGAGACCAAGGCCACCGTTGAGTGAGTGTCCACATCCCACTGCCGCCGCCTTCCCAGGCTTGAGAGCGGTGGCTAGACTACGCTGTTTGAACTACCGCATTTAGGCGCCCTTCTTTGATTGCGCTCCTGCGTTTTTGATCGTGCAAGTCGAGGTGTTAACTTTTGGAGGGTGGGTTGTGGGGGCAGTATACACCTGCGACGTTCTTACTCTGTGCGGCTCCTGCCCCCGGATTGTGAACATGTGCCCCCATTTCTTTTTTGTTCACTAAGGTCAATGGCTATGATCGTGCGGTCCGACGTCCTGCTGTGTACTCGTGAAGAGGCGCCTTCTTTCATCTGGTGTGGTTCATTCTTATATCACCGTGTTCGTTTTTGTTGCTGCTGCCTGCTGCCTGCTGCTGCTGCTATGACAGCGAGTTCGGCGATGTGGTCGCCACGTCGGGAAGCCTAGAGGTGGAAGACGCCGTAGCCTTCGACGACTCCGTGGCCGCCATTCGGCGCCACCTCGACGACGGTACTTCCAACGAAAACATCTTCGAGGTACAGCATTGTGTTAGCGATTTTTTCTGTTTGCGTTGACCCGGCTAGTGCTGTAGCCGGCTGACCATTGAAAATACGTCAGTTTGCAGCGGTATGCGGGCTGTGGTGTGCTTCCGGAATTAGCATCGACCACGCGATAACCGGCTGACCAAAAGAAAAGACGCATGTCTTGTAGCGGGATAAACAACGCGACACGCTTTCCCGGTCATCGGGCTCCCCCGGCAATTGAGGTTTGTGTGTTTGTTCGGTTATCCGTTGAAAGGATGCCAGTCGTATGCATACAGCGAGCCAAAAAAGCGACCGCATTGTTGTTTCCCCCTTGTTGATAGCGATCGGTAGCAACGACCGGGGTGTGCACTACTGGTCAATGTTGGTTTCGATCCCACATTTTTTTTTTTAAAATAATACTGCAGTTTTTATTTCTTTTTCCCCAGACCTTGACCTGACCCAAACCTCGCTTTCCTTCCCCCCGCCGCCCCCCAACCCTCGACGCAGGAAATCCGCACGGCCCAGACGTTCGCCGCGTTCCCAGTCCACTACCGCATCCACCTTTTTGTGGCCGCCTCTTTCGCCACCGCCGACAAGGTGACAAAGGACGACATCGAGTCGAGGGCTGCCATGTTCGACATGCTCAAGTCTCGCCCTGAAGACCAGAGGCACATCATCGGCGCCTTCGAGCTCCTGTGCCAGGCGAGTGCCGTGTTTGGCGTGGAATTGCAGAAAAAGACGGCAGGCAGGATTACTCTAGTGATTGTTGGGATAGGAGGTCAATCGCACTGGGTCACGGCATGCGTTGTCACCAGTACAACCCCCCCCCCCCCCCCCCCCCCCCCCCCCCCCCCCCCCCCCCC